AATTGGAAGGGGCCTAGAAGGCTATTGAGCCCAACCCCCGATGCACTTCCGTATGTGGTCACCCGTCCAGCTGCATGCCCACACCTTTCCAGTTTAGCAAAGGTGACCCAACATGCTAGCTCCATGTATAGCTATGCAGGCAGAGATGTTCTGCTGCAGTCCTGCTGTTGCAATTTCTTCTTTCACTTTCATCAAGAGTCTTTTCAATTTGTTGCTGCCTTCCGCCAGTAATATGATATCATCTGCAGAGCCTCACGTATTAGTGTATCTTCTGCAGTTTTTGCTTCTTCTTCCTCTAATCCTAATCTAGCTTTCTTTATGATATGCTCTGCATATAGAATGAGCAGAGAGGGAGATAAAATATACCCGTGCCCATTGTCTTTGCCTATAAGAATCCATCCATCCATCCATGTATGCATGCATGCATCCAATAGATTTCTAACCCGCCCCATTAGCCACATGGCTGTTTCTTCATATTCTGTCCTAACATGATTTTTGTCCATGTCCTTCTTGTTCACAATTCAGGTTATGCATCAGGACAATTAAGTGCTGAATTCTTTCAGAACTATCTAAAAGAATTTCTTTCAGAACATTTATTTCAGAACTATCAATCACTTCTTGTGTTCTGCACAACGGCCCTCCTGCATTCTACAAAGCACAGACAGATCTTCTTTCAAAATTCTTTGGTGTGCTGCAGTAGCCAACATATATTCACAATATGATTGCAAGCACCTTTTCCTTTTCAGAATCCAGCTTGGATGACAGACATTTCTCACTCCGTACAGGGCAAACATCTTTTTTGCTGTACCTTGAGCATCACTTCACTTGAATGGGAAATTAGTCCAATGGCCCTATGGTTGCTGCACTCCTTAGCACCTACTTTCTTGGTAACTGGAATTTATATTGATGTTTCCAGGCAGTGGACCATGGTTTTTTGTTTTTTGCCATATTTGTTGGCATATTCCTGTCAGGACTGGGTCTGATTCATTTCTGCAGCTTGCAATAGTTCTGTTGCTACCCTAATTACTCTGCATGTTTTATTCTTTCCAAGTGCTTTCAGATCAGCTTTCACTACACTTTCTAATATTGCATGTTCTTCCTCATAAGAATTTTCTTTGAAGAAGTTGGTCATCTTTTTATCTCTTCTGTATAATTCCTCCATATATTGTTTCCACCTTCCCTTTATTTTGTCCTGATCAGATAGTATGTTAACTCTTGGTCTTTCAGCATTCCTAATCTAGGTTTAAATATTCCTTTGATTGCTTGGATCTTCTAGAAGAGGTCTTTTGTTCTTCCTCGTTTGTTGTTCTCTTCCATTTTTTGCACTGGCCATTGTAACAGTTCTTTTTGTCTCTACATGATAGTTACTGAAAAGTTGCATTCAGGATTCTGACCCTATTTCTGTCACCTTTTGTTTTTGCTTCTCTCCAGTCCTTAACAATTGTGAATGCTTCCTCTTTCTTCCATTTAGGCTTTTTTCTTTTTCTTTTTGGCTACAGGAATTGTCTTTTTACATTCTTTCCTAATAAAGTCCCTGTTTTTGGTGCACATTTCTTCTGACTCGCAGTCAGTTGAGATCAGTAATGAAAATTTGTTCTTTATGTGCACTTTTAATTCTTAGTAATATTATTTAAAATGTATTTCAGCACTATATTTTGTTAGTGATCTTTTTCAGCTTGACTCTGATTTTTATATTTACAGTTGATAGTCACTAGCACAATCTGCTCATGGTATAATTTTGGCACTGAGAATACAACTTCTTCATCTCTTACTTTAAATTATATAGTCCACTTGATTTCTGTATTTGCCATCTGGTGCTGTCCGTGTGTACAGTCATCTGCTTGATTGCCTGAAGTATATATTTGCAATAAATTGCTCACTGACGTCACAAAATTCTAGAATTCTTTTGTTTTGCTTCTGATTACTACACCAATTCTCCCACAGCATTGGATGAATTCAGTCGCCTAGGAAGATCAGCATGCCTTATTCTGGTATGTTATCAATTTCCTCTTTGATGCTTCCATAAACATTTTAAATGATGCAGCATAAATGTTGCATATATGTTTTCAATTACTCCAGCATAGAAGTTACTGGAGCATAGACTTAAATGATAGTTATATTGATAGGTTTTCCACGAATTCTAATTGCTATGATTCAGTCAGAATTTACATTTTAATCACCCACTGTCTGCCTCAGTATTAGAGCCACTCAGTTTCCAGAGTAAAACACACTGTGTTTGTCTGACTGGAAATGGCCCATTCCTGCCTACTTTTATTTGTTCACACCAAGTACTATGATATTTAACCATCTCCTTCCTTGCTTTATATTTTCCAGTTTGCCTTGATTCATACTTCCCATGTTCCATGTTCCAACTCTATGTGTTGTACAGCATCACATTTTCCTTTTGCCTCTGTACGAGTACGTCAGCCACTAGATTTCCTCTTGCCTTTGATCTAGTTAAATCATTCACAAAAGCATAATTCCTGCTTGTCCTTTGCTGTTCCCTAGTAGCTAGTTGGGTGCCTTCCATCCTGGGAGTCTTATCTCCTGGCACTATCTTTTGTTTCATTTTAGACGGTTTGATCATATGGTTTTCATACTCGGAAAGGGTGTAAGGGTGTATCATTGCCGTCTTCTGGGCAGAGTTAGCTTGAACATCACTGCGATTGTTGCCTTCAGCTACCACTACTGGCCAGTAGCTGCCTTTCAGGAGTTTTCCACCCCATGGCTACCAGAGATGTCCATTCCTTCTGCTGGTGTCACCATTACTCATGAAGAGACTGGCTGCATCTTAGTGTGGGGCCACAGCTTTGACCATTCCACCTTGGGTGACCCTGCTAGGAGAACAGACTTGCAAGAGACACTCTAAAAATCCTCGCTTCAGTAAGGTGTGCATCCAAGAGGAGGTCATTACAGTTAACTGGTCATTTTGAAGAAAACCTTGATATCTTATTACTGATCATCTTGAAAAGTCACCCTCAAAATTAAAATTTTTGAGGTATGGAGTGGGGCAGGGGCAACACTGCAGAAAAAGGTATTGAAAGACTTACTCTGGATTAAAATATCTTCCAGTCCTTTAAATTCCCCAAAGACCAGGATTGCATTTAATGCTATATAATTAGCATATTCCTGGACATCCATAATACATATTTTAATGGGGTTTTGAAATATCTCTGTTCAAACTGTGCCAGTGATTAACTCCTCTAGAGACCCCCTGTGACAAACATGACAGACAGGAATGCCAATACCTTGTGGCAGAAGGAGCAGCTAAGCCCTGTTCTCTGATATACCTTCAAATGAGATGCCTTGTAATTCTGTGATGCACATTTGTCCAAATAAAGGCAATTGCCAAATCTCCCCAACCTTTCAGTTTAATTTGTGATATTCCAAATAGACAAAGATTAAAGGAAAAGCATAAATCTTGCCAAGATAGTCATGTTAATTGAAGATATTTCATCTAGTCAAGAAATCTTTTTAACTGACTGTCTTTCCAAGCCATCTTTAACCTCTTTCTCTGGGGGCAAATAACTGATTGAACATAAATCTCTCATAGTAATCACAGTTTTTATTACCATGCCCCTCTTCCCCCCCCCCACAATATCTTACTGATTACACTTTAAAGACAATCCCTCAAACAGACCTTTATTGTCTCCTGTTCTGAACTAAAGCCTTATAACCCATCCTTTCTTTTTTAAGATTTGATTTACCACTAACAACTCAAGTGCAAGATACTTAACTCTGCATTAGGGAAGAGAACGGGCCAAATTTATTTATTTATTTATTTATTTGATGTTAGTGATAAACTTAGGAAATTGCATTTTCAATACTGGCCCTTCTAACTCAGAGCAGCAGAACCATTTAGGGTAGAGACCAAATGCTCCCTCCACCTGTAGGACTTCAGGAGAAAGCCCAGAAGATCAGTTCTCTACCCAGCACCTCAACATGAGATTCCCCTGTGACTGCACAATGGCATCTCTGCTTTTCTCTCCAATCACAGCAAGGATCCCTTCCTGCTTCCTTCCCAAGTTTCTAGGAAGCCTCCAGGGATGGAAGACGGAGGCTTGTAGAGCCAAGGAGGCAGGGCCTGGGAAGGATCTAGAACCTCCATAGGACAGATGTTCTGCTTCTCTGCTCTAGCCCACTATTGCCAACACCGACTGGCAGCAGCTCTCCAGGGTTTCTTTTCATAGGCCCACCTGGGGATGTCAGGGACTGAACCCAGGATGTTCTCTCAGGGCAGCAGGAGCCTGTCACCGGTTCTGACCTCAAAGAGCTCTAGTGAGCCTAACTAAGACCATGGGAATGGAACAGGGGAGAGGCGCATCTGGAATGATCTTCCTACAGAAAGTGAAGGAAGGGACCAGAACGTGCCTTTGGTGCATGTTCTGCTGCCGGAATCCCCAGTAAGAACATGGAAGCTCTCCAGGGTCCAAGGCAAGGAAGGCTTCTTCACCTTGCCTTCTACCTGGACCTTTAAAAATGCCTGGAGATGCAGAAGTTGCCCTTCTGGATGCAAGACATGTGTGCTATCATTCAGCTAGAGCCCATCCCAAAATGTTTCTAAGAAAATTGGTTTGGGAAGTAAGTTGTCATACTTATTCCAAAGAATTGTTGCAACATAAGAAGGCAAAATGAAAGGACAAACATGGGCCAAAATAAATTTTTTTTTCTTAACCTTGTGCACTTTCTTATAAAATCAGCCAGCCATTTCACACTCATACCCTGCCCCATTTCCTGATAATGCTTATGCTTAATGGTAAAACTGTCCGTGACTGAAACTAAGAAGATGAAACTCTGGTTGCCACTCTCCAGGTGTTTCTAACATTCTTTCAGTATTTCTAACATCTAAGCAACAGCCCAAAGTTTGCACAAAAGTAATCCGTAAAAGCACACGATTATATACCCCATGCCAAGGGAAAGAGTTGAAAAGACAGAGCCAGGGGTTAACCCACCTTCAAACCCCATCAAAGCCCCGTCCTGAGGACTGGAAGCATGCCCACCTTTTAAAAGTGACACCTGGCTTTCTCTTGTGGTAATCATATGTGGAGCGGAGGGAGCGGGCAAGCCACGCGTTCTGCCAGTCGTCCAGGCTATCGCCTCTGGCTCCCTCACAGAGCGGCGGTGGCGGCTGTCTTAGCCCGGTCCGAGAGAGCGCCAGCCCCAGCCTCCCCGCAGCGAGAGAACTTGGCGCGGCTCCTCCGGGGGCGAGCCCCGTCTTCTCCCCTGCCGCCGACCAAGGCCGGGCACACGCGCCCCGGGTCCTTGGCCAGCGTGTGTGCGCGCTGTCATCCTCGCCCAGGACATTTCGGCCGCGCCGCGGGGCTGCCGAGCGAGGAGAGGGGGGCAGGAGGTCCAGCTCCCGGCCGCCGGCCTCTGGAGCAGCAGCCCCGCCGCCGAGCTGAACGCGGCTGGGAGGCGGAGGAGAGGAGGAGGGTAGGTAAGGTTAGTCGTGCCTCTTCCCCTCCCTCTCTCCCCACCCGCGCAGCTCCATCCTTCCAGAGACTGCCTGCCTGCCCCCCCCCCCCCCCCCCCCCCCCCCCCCCCCCCGTCTGGGGAGGGCAGACCCGGAGAAGCGATTTGGCAAAGGTGCCGCCGGCCGCCTCGCCTCGCCTCGCCTCGCCGCTCTTCCGAGAAGAGGGAGCCTGCCCTCCCGGCTCACCTGCTCCTGCGGCCGCAGCGGGGCAGAGGCCCTGCCTGGGCTTGGCCCCGCCGCGGGATCTTTGCCTCTCTTCCCTCCCCAGAGGCCACGATCCCGGCGGCCCGATCCCCCAGTCTCCAGTCTCCGGGGATCCCCGCTCCGGGGCGCGCGCGGCTCCGCCCGAGCGTGGATCGCGCCCCACCCGCGAGCGCCGGGCTGGCCATGCCGGGGCTCCGCCGCGACCGGCTGCTCGCCCTGCTGCTGCTCGGGACGCTGCTCAGCGCCGATCTCTACTTCCACCTCTGGCCGCAAGTGCGGCGCCGCCTGGCCCGGGCCCACGCGGGCGCCCCGGGCTGCCCCTGCGCGCCCGCGGCCGCCCCCAGCCCGCAGCCCCGGACGCGGCCGCCGGAGCGGGAGGAGAGCAGCCAGGCCGTCGGAGCGGGCTCCAAGCTGCGGAGGCTCTTCGCTCACCCGCTGTACAGCGCCCCCGAGGGCCCCGCCGAGAAGCTGCTCAGCGCGCAGGAGGCGCTGCGCTACTACCGTCGGAAAGTGGCTCGCTGGAACAGGTGCGTCGTCCTGGCGGGGTGGGTGACCCGCCGCTGCTCGGCGCCGTGCCTGGGACAAGTAACGTGGTGGTGACCATTTCTCTCTGTGGCTCCCCCCCTCCCTCCCTACAGCCCTAAGCGGGGAACGGGCGGGTGTGTCAGTCATGAGGGCTAGAAACGCGTTCCATTTCTTCAAAAGTGAAATAGGATGGGCTCTCAGTTTATTTTACAACGGGTTGTGTGTGTGTATGTGGGTAGATATGGAGGGAGTGGAGGAGTTAATTGCAAAGTGAAATGTTTTATTTTATTAAATACGTATTTTAACGCTGGCGTTGGCTGCCTTAAGAGATTTTCAGCAGATTACTAGTGGGGCACTATTTCCATAGGTAACAGCTGCTGGCCATATGGAAAAGAGACTGGAGGTTGGGTCCCCTGCTCTTTTCCCCACTTTAAACAGTCCCAGGAGCATCTTTCCCCAGCCCAGTGCCCTCCAGATGTGTTAGATCACAATCCCCATAATCCCCAGTCAGAACAGCCATTGGCCATGCTGGCTGAGGATGGTGGGAGTTGTGGTCCAACACCCCTGGAGGGCATCTCAGTGGGAAACTGCTGATTGGCCTTTTCTCACCTGTTGGCATTGCACCAAAAAGACAGTCCGCTGTGTTCTGTCCCCCTCGACTCCTTAGTTCTGTTCTCCTCGCATCTCCTACTTTGCTAGGATGAGAGTGATTCTCCCCGCAAAACTAGGGAGGGCCCTGCCTTCCTTGCTGGCTGTTTTCGAAACAGTGCAGCATCCTGAGGTGGTGGTCCTGAGGATGGGCTGCAAAATACAACAGTCCGGGAGATGGAGGGCCACGAAGTTAAGAGGTCCTCTGTCTGGCTGGTGGGAAGCCTTAAGGACAGGTGTGCATCACCTAAAATCACCATGATGCGACCTGAGGGGATCCACATGGTGTTGCTGCTGTGGACAGGGGAGCCCAATTTTGGCAGTGGTGCTTGTAGAGCAGGCTAATCCTCCATAAACTATTTCCCTAGACTTCATTGATCCAACACACCGTGTAAATCTACGGGAGTTGTGGCCCAATGCGTCCAGAGAGGCCAGCTTGAAGGAGGTAACTCAGGGATGCTTTAAAGTAGGGAACAGATCAGGAGATTCCTGTCACCTCTCTTCTGACCCCAGATTGGCCTACTGCAACAACATTAACAGTAAAGCACAATTCCTTGAGGCACGGCAGAAGCTCCTTCCTCTGACGTGATGTCACCACTATAAGCAGCAGGGCGTTTAGTTGGTTTCTCTACCACCCGAAGAAGCCTGCCTGAGCCTCCCACGGGGCAGCATAGCATAGCATAGCAGCAGGCTAAGCACAGGCACCATCCATATATAACACCTCATTTCATAAACCCTGTTCATTAGCTGGGCTTCATTGTTCTGAGATTAGGGATTACAATTGTCCCGAGGGAGTCGTGCTTCTCCATTGTCTGTGCAGGATTAAAGCCAATGCTTTTCTTGCTGGAATATTTGGTGCAGATCAAAATTGCAGTGGGATAGACATGTTTGCTAAAATGGATGGAGTGGGCAGTTCTGAGAGTCTGTCACGCTGTTCAGAGTAAGTTTGATGAGGTGACCTTGCAGAATGTGACGACCTCTGTACTCCGTACTTGCCCAGCCTGGTGCCCTCAGGATGCTTTGGACTTCAGTTCTTATCAGCCCCAGTCGGCATAGCCAGTGATGAGGATTACAAGGAGTTATGGTACAAAGTATCTGAAAGGCACTGGGTTGGGGAAGGCAGCTGCTCTCTCTTACTCCTTGAGATTATAAGTTGACCAATATGTGTTTTTCAACCTACAGTATTCACTCTGTCTAAAGCATAATAGAGATGCTGAGTGGTGCTTTTAGCTCTTCCAACCTCAGTTTAAAAAAAACCTTAGCTGATTAATCAGATTAGTTTTAGTTGTTTAATCAATAGATCGATTGCATATCTGTTGACTGTTTTAGACCACCACTCTGAAACAAGAAGCACCCTTTCCTTGATTTGCACATTATAGTAGGCGTCATCCTGAGCAAGGCAGTCTTGCTGGGTGAGAGCAAAGAAGAATTTATCTTTTGACAAGGCCCTTGCCACATGCAGGTTATGAATTGTATCCAAAGTTATTTTATTTATTTATTTATTTTTCTATTTATATCCTGCCTTTTTCCTACAAAGGGCTCAAGGCAGCTTACATCATTCTCCTCCTCCATCTTATCCCCACAACAACAACCCTGTGAGGTAGGTTGGGCTGAGAGTCTGTGACTGGCCCAAAGTCACCCAGTTGGCTCCATGGCTGAGCGGGGACTCGAACCCAGGTCATCTGAGTCCCAGTCCCATGCTCTTCACCACTACACCACACTGGGGGGTCTACTCTAAGTAGAACTAGCAACTCTATGAAAGTACTAGTATTAACAAGCCATGCGTGTGTGTATAAAGAGAGGGAGGCAGGGGGGTGGACTTTTAAAACTGATCTACCCGATTAATGGAACATTATAGCCCTAAGTATTAGGCATCTCTCTCTGTATATCTGAAAGCAACACAGCATCAGGGACCTGGGTGAGGTTTTATTTGAAATGTGATGTCTGCGAGTCCCTTATCCCAGGTTGCATGTATGACCTCACCAGCAGAGTGAAATGAAGATGGGAGAAGCAGCTCTAAGGGAAAGAAGCGGCTCTTTGCACTGCAGGCTTATCCACTTCTCCTTGCAAGCAAGTCCTGCTGATTGCTCTGGCTTGCCCATCCAGGTCCATGCGCATTTCAGGCTGCAGTCACTGGCCTTTAAAATGCATGGTGAACCCACATTTAACTGGGGGCAAGTGGACGCTGTGTCGGGGAGCATTTAAACAGTGCAATGACTGAGCTTGTTTGCCAACTTACGGCAGTCTTTCAACCGAACAGGGTCACTATTGCCCTGCAGGAAAAGTCAAGCTGAACACTTTGGCATGGGAGCCAGAAATCTTTATCAGAAACCTGCCACGAGTTTATTTTGCACTTAGTCCCTAATCGGTAAAGCTTACGTGTCACTAAATAATAATAATAAGGTAAGAACAGGAGCTGGTGTGAGTTCCAAAGAGTGAATCAATGAGAGCATATGACCTTGCTCCAGTTGAATGGAATAGCTGTACTTCTCTTTAAACCACTGAGATGTGACAATAAAGATAAATAAGACTGTAGCTTGGGGCCAAACTAAATGGTGGAGATGTGACAGAAGCTCTTTGGTCTCTTTAAACTGGGAGGTGGTGGGAGATTTTTCTTGCTAGGATAAATGGGAGCTTCAGTGAGGAGGGTTCACTGGGAAAATATGTGGGGAGGGAAAGAGTTAAAGAAGGCTAGGCAAGGGCTGCATGTGCCCAGCCCTGCTCTATAGGACTTGCGACTGAAACGGCTGCACTGTTCACTCTACAAGGCTGCACTGAATTCAGGATAACCTCTTGACAGGTTTGTCCATTCTCCTGAGGATCAGAGCTGAAGATAAGGGAAGAGTCGGAAGCTGAGGAGGTAGATGCCAATCAGGGGCAGGACCAGGGTGTGAGATGGAGGCTATAGCAAAAGTTGGACCAGCTGTCTCTCTTTAGAATGGGACATAGGAAGCCACCTTAGGCCAAGTCCAACCATTGATTCGTTGGGTCCAGTACTGTCAGCAGAGAGGGACAATGGCTCTCCAGGGGTCCAGAATATTTTCCAGGCCTACCTGGAGATTAAATTTAGGACCTTCTGGATGCAAAGTAGATGTTTTCCCACTCAGTTGTGGTCCCTTCCCTAGACTCTGCTGGGACTCCATAGCAGGACTCAGTGAAAAAGGTCAACTCCATGTCCCGCATAGCTAGGAAAATAAAATATACTGTCCTTACACAAAATCTTAGTGCAACCATATTTAGAATGCTGTTCTAGTTGCCACACATTCAAAGGGATAAAATAGAGTTGGAAAAGGGGCAGGAAAAGGGAACTGATCAAAGAAGATAGGTTACAAAAGCTGGGATTGTTTATCTTAGGGAAATGGAAGCTCATTTAGGGCTGAAATATATAGTAATTGTAGAGACAATAAGATTGTGAACTCAGTATGTCTGAAGTCTTTGGAATAATCATTTGTTTAGATAGTAGAAAATAATAAAAAATGTTGAAACTCAAACTCAAGAAAGAAGGCGAGTTAGGAGAGTCATGACAGAGAATTATACATGGAATGGAAAAAGTAGAGAGGGAGGCCTCTCTCTCTCTCTCTCTCTCTCTCTCTCTCTCTCTCTCTCTCTCTCTCTGTCACATCAAGTAGAACCCAAGGTCATGAAGTTGATGGGTAAGAAATTCAGGACAAATAGAAGGAAGTCCTTCTTCACAAAGTACATACTTGGCAAAGTATGGAATTCACTTCCACAAGATGTAGTGATGGGCAGTCAGTTGGCCATTGTGTGAACAGGATGCTGGACTAAATGGGCCTTTCATCTGATCCAGCAGGGCTCTTCTTGTATTCCTCTGTTGAGGAAAATTTGTTCTGTACATGCTCAGGAGCACTTTGATCTAGCTTTCCTTTATAAGTTTCAGAGCTACCCATCACTCCTGTACATTACAGCCAAAACTGAAGGCTGTGGACTCAGCATAATGCCTCTGGACATGTTTTTTAAGCCAACCATTTCAGAAAGAGAAGAGGGAGCGTGCTGGCAAGGGTTTGCACTAGCTGATGCCTGGAGCAACTCTGAAAAGGTTTTGTAGGAGAAGAAAAGAGGGGAGTGCAAGCTGGAAGAGGCGAGGCAAAAGTTAAATGAGACCATGGGAAAGAAATGAATGTTGGAGAGAAAATGTCCTGGAGATCTTTGAAATTAGCCAATTAGGTCGCTGTCATACAGCAACCAGCTAGCCAGTGAGTGCAGATTGTTTGCAGCTGACTGATGGATTGCCTTCTGTGTCCAAAGCTTCCTGATTTCTTGTTTTTCCAAATGCTAACTGAAGCTTGTCAGAATCTGCACTATTTTGAGTTCAGTCTAAAGGAAGCCCTGCAAC